TGGCAATGGCGCCCTGCTTGCTGAGAAGATGCCGTGCGCAGAAGCGATGTCAAGGGGATCTCCTGATTAGTTCAGGTATCGCGTCTTTTGCGCGCTCGAGGTTTCAAATTTTTAAATAGGCGCACGGAAAGCGCGCTCATTATGCGCTCACGGGAAGCGCGCTCATAAACTTTTCAGTATGGGAGTGCACGTGCACCCAAACACTTGGGTGTTTTTTTCTCTTCTCCGTAAATAAATCTTTTAGCAGAGCAACAGCAAGCGTTTTTCTGTGGTGGAAATACATTAGCTACTAAAACTTTGTCGTTGTGGAGAGCGCAGTGTAATAAGTGCATGATTCTATAGCAACGACAGCCATGGGAAAATCAGTACGAATTTTACTATTAATAATAAAAGATAAGCTACTGTGCATTATAAATGTCAGGAATGTATCTTTATTGACTCATTCTTTTTATAGAGATGATTTAAATGCTGAAATATGAGGTTTATATTTTTATAAAACCTTTTTTGTGTTAACCTTTTTTTTTAAGTTTAGTAGGTAAGATAAAAGACACTCCTTTAAAACAAATCTTTAATGTTATTAACTTGGTGAATTGATTTCACTATGTATTAGGCTTTTTGAAGAAGATTCTGTGTATGTGATCATTTTGGTCACTATATTATCTAATAATTTTCATAATGATCAACTAAAATCAACTTTAATTATGTGTTTTTACAGTAGCCTACAATATGCAAAGTTTTTTTTTTTTTTGGTGGTGGTGGGTGCTCGAAGGGGGTCTCGCCCTGGGTGTAATTCAAAGTAGAACCGCCACTGGCAATACATATGTAACATTTATAATGTGTTTAGAACTTTTTTGTAGAATTGCCTTTACAGGGACTTTAAATGGACGGTCATGTCGACATCATTGCAATGCTGAATACAATATTCCACAGAGTGCTCTCTAGTTATTCACCACTTATATAGATATTTCATGCATACCATTCTGTGCATAGTTTATATTTAGTGCAGTGCTAGGAAGTATGCTATTCCAAACCAATCCCACATTGATTTACCCCAGTTTAACATTTGACCTCTTGCAAATGAAGTGGATAATTGAATTAAACCTTTATTATTTTAAAAGAACTTCATCACCTGTGGTGCGAAATGTATTTTTTGTTTCCATTTTCTTGTAGTTTACTATGTTTGTTTGAAAGATTATGAATATAGGTCCCACACAAATGAAAAAAAAATAGCATGTTATGAGTTTTTCTTGGCGATGAATGCCTCGTAATATTGTACAAAAACATCAATGTCAGACACTTTTACTTGATGTTAATAAGATTTGACTTACACAAAATGTTGTCCACATGGTGAATTATAAGCCATTCATACATACCATATTTAGTAATGTATACTTCTTATTCCATAATGGGATGCATTATGAATGATATGATGTGTGATTTCCAGGAGGCCCTAGTGTCATGGAAAGGGGTATTTTCTAGAATCTTCCATCATTTTCTGTTTCAGCTGTCTGGTAGGAAACAGATAATACCAAATTGGGGGAAAATTGTCCAAATCTGTGCACAATTACCCCCATCTCTGCTCAGTAAGACTCCCATGGCACTGTGGTTTCCATCGCTGCATGAGACCAAGCTCAGCACTCAGTCCTATCAGCCTCCATTTTCTGACCCTCTTACAAACATTACTGTAAACTACATCCGTTCAGGTGCATTTACTGCCATCCCTTCTTAAATAGTAAAGCCTTTGGACACAAGGTGTCCGCGTGTGTCAGTGAGATACAAACAGAACAAGAACAAGAGACATTTAGAAATGGAAAATTTGTTGTCAGTGCAAAGTGAAGATTTCAGAGTCCTGGAGGGTAACAAGGCCAGCAGGGATTAAGTTATTCAATTACACTGCTAAATTGATAGATACCCCCCAACCCCCCCCCCCCCCCCCCGCCCGCGCAAGTTGGAAACATAAAAATCAAAGGAAGATCTTTCATGTTGTCTCATTTCTGTGTGATTGCTACATTACCATATCTTTGAGGATGTCTCTGGAGCTCATTTGGCCTGGTCTGAGATCCTTTGCTTTTATCAAAATACAAGTAACACTGATGAAAACCATCAAATTCTATCATAAAAATAAATAAATAAATAAATAAAAAAGAAATTGATCAAACAGATTAGACTTTCTCTGAATTTGGGTTTTGGGATTCTTCAAAGTCCAAACCAAGTGAGCTGCCCACAGAGGGAGCATTTCTACAAGATATAAAATCTGTTCTGAAATCATTTGAGAAGGCAATCCCAGAATCCACTACAAGAAAGTGAATTTTTTTATTTTAATATATTTAAAAAAGGAATTTATGTTTGTGATGGGTCCGTGTACGTTGCGTTCATTCGTTTTTTGATTTATATTGAAAGTAGAAAAATTAGAAAACGGCTCATTTATTCATTTTCCTTTTAAAAAAACAACAAACAAAAAAACGAGAATTCGGCTTGATTTTATATTCTTTTGTTCAGGAATAGAAAATAGATAAATGGATTGAATATTCGATTTCCACGTGTGGGCGCGCATGAAACGCCCCTTTCCGCTGATTGGTCAAACAAATATCAACGCTTTCAGTTCAATCAACGCAGCTCAGTTTTTAACAGTTTCCACAGAATAACAGTCCTCCACTGCTGGACTTATTCTTTAACACAAATTGCGCTGAGCAGGGACTAGAAAGGGTTTTCTTGATTCAATGTCCCAAATATAGCCAAGTAATGAATGAATCAGCGTTTTGAATGAATCGGTTGAATGAATGACTCACTGACTGACTCAGTAGCACCTCAATGCAGAACATGAGATCCACGGGGAGGAGTCAGATCACGATCCAAGGGGTGGAGATGGGTAGGTTTAGGGTTGGGTTTAGGAATTAGGGGTGGGTTTAGGGATCAGGGGGCGGAGTTGGTTAGGTTTAGGTGTATGTAAGGTGGGAGGAGTTGGATCTGGATCCGACTCCTCCCCATTGATTTCATGTTCCGCAGTGAGGACCATCTCGACTGACTAGACAGTTACCATAGACATATACACTAGACCTCACCTTGGCACCTCGCATTCGTTCCAAGTTCATTGGAACGAATGCGTCAATAGAAACAGGGGAGCCCCTCCACTTTAATGCATCAGCGTCAATGTAGTAGACACAGGTCTAACGGAAATAAAATCACCATAAATCATCATGAATGCGATTTTTCTTGTTTTTTTTTTGGTTTGTTCCAACGTTCAGACATGTATTTATCATTGATTCCATAAAGAAAATTATTATTTAAAAAAAAAAAAAAACATTCTTCCTAGTTCAGATTTCATCCGTGAACATCATACGCTGCACAAAAGTCTGCCACCATCAATGAATTCGAAGTAAAGGCAGAGATAGCAGCGTTACTTCCTATGACAAGACCGCTGTTCCAAGATGAAGGTGGTTTTGACGCATGCTTAGAACCCCAAGGTGAGGTCTAGTGTATATGTCTATGGACAGTTATGTGCTGCCACCTACTGGGGGTCTTACTCTCATAATCTAAGTATTGTTTTATTTTGTCATTAATTTCATATTTAAAAGGCTATTCAAAATATTATATTTTAAACGTTAATATCATAATACTATGTAATCGTAATTACTGTGTAATTCCTCTGAGCAGCATTAAACAGTTAATAGTAGGCTAATAGGACTAGCCTACATGCCAGTTCAGAATTCAGATGCAGCTTTTTTGGTTGATACCATAGATTAAAAAAAGATAGTAATTTAATTTGATAACAGCTTGTTGTCTTATTATTCTAATTGAATTTGTCAATTAAATTTCCATTTATTTGATAAAAGATGACAAATAGCCTATATTTAAAAAAATATTAGAATAATTGCCCTTGCAAAGGTAAACATAATAAGCTATGAAAGCTATAAGCTATGAAAAACAAACAAACAAACAAACCAACAAAAAAACGAATAGAATAACAACCAAAATAGATGCCCTGTGACATTGACTCTAAATAATGGAATTTATATCTTTTCATATCTATCATATTTAAGCTTCGTCCCTTGTCCAAAACTCAATGTGCAGTCTAAAATAATAGTTATGACTGCTGCATATTTACACTTAAATGGATACTGGTCTGTGCGCTGTCCACTGGGTTATACCCAGCTTTGAAGTAGGCTAATGATGGGACATGTGGGTGCAGATGCGAGATAATCTACAAAATATTTCTGAAATAATCAGCTAATATTTCTCTAGTGTAGATTGTCGAATCCATGCCTATAGAGAAGAAAACCCTTTCTATGCCCTGCCCAGCACAAATTGTGTCAAGCATTAGTCCGGTTGTTGGATTAGAGAGAGTTTATTTGTAATAAACACTTTAAGAATCCGTCCAGCAGCGGAGGACTATAGAAGAACGGAAAGCATTGATCTTTGGTTGACCAATCAGCAGAAAGGGGCGCCCACATGTGGAAATTGAATATTCAAGCCATTTTTCCATTTTCGATCCCTGAACATAAAAATATAAAAATCAAGCCGAATTCTAATTTTTTATTATTATTTTTTTTTTGGAAAAAATAAAAAAATAAATGAGCCTACTTTCAATATCAAATAAAAAAAAAACCGAATGAACACAACGTACACAGACCGTGGTGGCTAAGCTTCATTTTCAGCATCGTTACTAGTCTTCAGCGTCACATGATCCTACATAATTATAATATGGTGATCAAGAAACATTTCTTATTATTTTCATTGCTGAAACAGTTGTGCTGTTTTTGTAGAAACCGTGTTTTTTTTTTTTTTTTCAGAATTCAGTGAAGAATAGAAAGTTTAGAACAGCTTTTTTAAATGATGATAAATATTAGCAATTTAATGCATCATTGCTTACTGAAAGTATTGTCTTTCAAAAAAATCCCAAACTTTTGAATACACACTTTTCAAAAAAAAAAAAAATAATAAAGCATTTAATTACACACATATTTATACAAACTCACATTTTAAAATCTGTAAATAAAAGATTCTTTTTTAAACAAAAAAAGCTTTATTTCAGTTTTTTTTTCTTGTAGTTGTCCTTTGCCAGAGCATTTGAACATTTTATAGAAACTCAAAATATGTTTTATCCACATGAATAACAAATAAAAATAATCTCATAGTAGCACTTGGAGAGAAAAAAAAATATTCAGGACTACATGTACCAGAATGCATCATGATACATCAGGAAACAACAACAACAACAACAACAGCAACATCTGACTTGTCTAGACTCATTTAACTGCAGAACTGGTACCATCGTTGCTCTAATAATTCAAGGGTCTACATTATAATTTCATATCACATATGAATAATTTCTTTTGCTCTTTTGCAAAGTTAAAAATAACACAGGAATAAGTAAAATATAAAAGTTCCAACAGACATAAACAAACAAACAAACAAACAAAAAACGTTTTCATTCACTCAGACAATCCATGCCGACTTGCCTTGAAATCTTCATGACATATATTATTACAGTCACAAAACAATTCCAACGCACTAATATTCCCACATCTTTATAGTTTCTCCTTTCTGTTATTTTATTTATTTATTTATTTATTTTTTCATGAAATTGTCACAAAAGAGAAGTGCTATGTGGATTTTAATCCCTCATATGGAGTCATGTTATGTAGCATTTCTATTTGCAGTGCAAGGCCTCGGTCCGTCAGTCTTTATGCCAAAGCCTGTGATGTCATAATGATGTCACAGTTACCTGGCACTCAGGGTCCTGGGGCCTCTTATTCAGCGGTCCTTCTCAGCACGGATATAGGGCACAAGTGCAAGTGTGGGAGATCTATGCGTGACAGAGCGGCACATAGAAAAGACCACATTAATAAAATGACAGCTATAGAGAGAGAGAGAGAGAGAGAGAGAGAGAGAGAGAGAGACTGGGACAAAATTTAGAAAGTAGACCTGACAACAAACACTTCTTTGACACAGACATCCCTCTTCCACTTGGCACTGTATACACTGCAAAAATTCATTCTCTTAATCTGTATTTTTGTGTTGTGTAAAACTGCGTAAGATATTAAGAGGATGTTTTCAGAGGATATTTCTTTTTTTTTGTTTAAGTGTAAACCTCACAAACTTTTGTTAGATTTATGCTTTCTATAAACAAATAAAAACAGAAAATTATTTGTTATGGAACCCCTAAAATGGCATTTGCGCCATGCGCACAAATGTTCTACGTGTGTACAAAAAACTTGTGTGCAAAACTTTCAAATTTACGTTTTCTTTTCTGTGTGTGTTGCACATGTGGATGAGAAATGTATTGTGTTCACGAAAAACACTTTATAAAACTTTCTTGTTCACAGTTTTGCAAAAAAAAAAAAAAATCCTTTCGGAAATATGCATATATGGAAAACTTGTGTGAAAAAACAAGAACATTTCTGTTCTCTTGACAGATTTTCAGAGAAAAGTTTCTTGTGCATATGCAAAACGTTTCTCATGTGAAAGTCTTTTTTTCTGTCACTTTAGGGGCTGCATAATTTTTTAATGGGGTAAATAAAAAAAAAATAAGATTTTGATATTTTTACTGGAAAACAAGTCAAAAATACTCACTAAGAAAATTATTATTATTATTATTTTCAGTTTGAGACAGATAAACTCATTTCAGATTGAGCACCAGTGAAAAAAGGCCATATTTAGCTATTGTTTTTTTGTTTTTTTAATCTAAGCAACATTCTTGTTTTTTGTATGACAAAAAAGATAATTCTACAGAATAATCTACACTGTCATCTGTCACTCCCCTCCCATGTTTTTAAAAGCCTGAAATGTTCCATGGTTGCATGTAATCTCTTTCCAAACCAGTATTTGCCCCACTCCCCCTATTAAAAAAAGTTTTAAGTAGTGTCTTTGGCAGATTCACAGATTTGTCTCCTCCACTCAATGAGTAATAGAACAAGTTTTTTTTTTCTAGTAATTTTTTAAGGGACTGTGACTGCTCTGTACATCTGTTCATATGCGAACATTGGCATATGTGCACTTGCACAACTCACTTGCACACTTTTATGATCTCACAATTGTGAAAACTGAGCTCAGGTGACAGTAAAGGCTCAGGTAGGTGGTAAACACAGACAAACAGAGAGATTCAGAGGACAGTCGCTTGAATCTTGACACGAGGATGATAGTGGGATGTTGGCAGAAAAGTACAGCACATTCAAAAATGCTGGCCACTTCACGTCTTTTGTCTGTCGAGCAAGAAAGCCTATGCAAGAATGCCAATATTTCGGCATTTGGGCGAGGCATATTGTCATTGTAAATTAGAGATGGTTTTCGGTTGTCCAGCCGGATTGCAGGGTTGGTAAAAATCCATTTCAACAGTGCAAAGAGCAGGCGATGAGCAATGTTTGTTCACTAGACTCCAGATCTCATGGGGCAGGGCATGTCATTGTGATGTATGATGGGGTGGGGCAGGTTGGGCGTGGTCAGGCTCAGTGGATTATAATGCTATGAGGGACACAAAAGCAGAAGCAATGGAAGCATGAGCCACAGGCTGGGCGTTAATGCCCAACCACTGCTGGAGTCATCTGTCAGGAAAGGCTCTGGAGACTCGTACAGAGAGTCATCTGAGAGAGAAAGGAAGAGAAATAATGCATATTAATAATCATGTTACACCTTTGCCTTTTTCTGTCCACTCCAGATTACTTACAAACAGTAGAAAGCAAACTTGACAACAGCAATGTGCATTTCAGAAATCTTCGGCACAGGAGTGATTATAGGGTATTCATTGATCATTGAAAATATTCATTGCAGGAACAGTTTCTGCCTCAGGGGTACTCAGTCCTCATTCAGATCATGATTTGGTTTGGTGTCATGCTTTTATGTTATTTTAGACTAATCATTTTCAACGCATTCTCACCCCAAGGCGTCACCTTTGACCATGCTTCAATATTTGACGTTTTAGGCGAAAGGAAAGCGTCAGTTAGAGGACGCGGTTAGGTTTAGGTGGGGGTAGGGTACACGCGATCCTAGGGCGTCATCTTACTGACGCTAAAGGGCGCCTAAAGCGTCAGATATTGAAGCATGTCCAAATGCTTCCCAAGGCGTCAGTTAAGTGACGCCTTGGGGGTGAGAATGGGCTGTCATTTTAAACTCACTGTATTAATAATTAATAATAATAATAATAATAATAATATTAATAATAGTGGCTAAGCTTCATTTTCAGCATCGTTACTAGTCTTCAGCGTCACATGATCCTACATAATTATAATATGGTGATCAAGAAACATTTCTTATTATTGTCATTGCTGAAACAGTTGTGCTGTTTTTGTAGAAACCGTGTTTTTTTTTTTCAGAATTCAGTGAAGAATAGAAAGTTTAGAACTTTGCTTACTGAAAGTATTGTCTTTCAAAAAAATCCCAAACTTTTGAATACACACTTTTCAAAAAAAAAAAAAAATAAAGCATTTAATTACACACATATTTATACAAACTCACATTTTAAAATCTGTAAATAAAAGATTCTTTTTTAAACAAAAAAAAGCTTTATTTCAGTTTTTTTTTCTTGTAGTTGTCCTTTGCCAGAGCATTTGAACATTTTATAGAAACTCAAAATATGTTTTATCCACATGAATAACAAATAAAAATAATCTCATAGTAGCACTTGGAGAGAAAAAAGGGCGCCTAAAGCGTCAGATATTGAAGCATGTCCAAATGCTTCCCAAGGCGTCAGTTAAGTGACGCCTTGGGGGTGAGAATGGGCTGTCATTTTAAACTCACTGTATTAATAATTAGAAACATTATTTTATTATAGAATCTGCATAATATATATAAAAAAATGTATATATAATTATATGGACAAAAGTATTGGGACACTTGACTATTACCAACAGGGACTGTAATGACAATGCATTCTAAATACATAGACATTACTATGGAGTTGGTCCCCCTTTGCAGCAAACAGCGTCTACTCTTCCGGGAAGGCTTTCCACAAGATTTTGGAGTGTTTCTGTCAGAATTTTTGCCCCTTCATCCAATAGAGCATTTGTTCGATGGGATTTGGGTCAGGCCAGTCAAGTTAGCCCACACCAAACTCCATGTCTTTATGGACCTTGTTTTGAGCACTAGGGCACAGTCCTGCTGGAATAGAAAAGGTCCTTCTACAAACTGTTCCCACAAATTTGGAACCATAGCATTGTCCAAAATGTCCTGGTATGGTGAATCATTAAGTTCCCTATCGAGGGAACTCAACACTGCGTCGATAAAATCGACGCAGTGTCTCGTTCCCTTCTCAGGGAACAAGGGTTATAGTCATAACCCGAGACGTTCCCTATCGAGGGAACTCAACACTGCGTCGATAAAATCGACTCTTTGGGGACGCTCCCTAAGCGTGCGCCTCTGAAGTATGAATGAAACTAATCCAATCCTGATTGGTGTTGCGTCGTGACGTAACATGTGACGGCATACCCGGAAGTATAAAAGTGACGCTGTCACAACACACACTAGCTTTCGCTCTTCAGCAAGCGCTTTATGTTGAAACTGTCTGTCTTATTTGGTGTTGTTTGTCTTATTATTGAAAGAAAGTATGGCCAGTGAACAATTCAAGAGGTGTGTGCATCCCTGCCCTCGTTTCATCACGGGTGGGGACGCACACTCTCTATGTGTGTATTGTTTGGGAGTGCAGCACGCACGGGCAGCTCTCGAGGGGGCTGCTTGTGAAATGTGTGAGGCTTTGCCTATTAGAGTGCTGCGCTCCCGGCTGGCGTGCTTTGACGAGCACGGTCAGGCTCGCGTTCCCCAGGGTTCCGGTCCCGCATATGTCGAGGCGATGCGGCGACTGAGATCCTGGGGTTCGCAGCGGGATCTGGCGGAGGAGAGTGAGAATGCTGAGGCATTTTCTCGCTCGCCATCGGCTGGTCCCGCAGCCTCTGAGAGTGGTGTGGGAGCCCGCGCTGCGGTTTCTCCTACCCGCGATCAGGTCCCGGTGCTTGAGCTGTCTACTTCTGAGGAAGGGGACGTGCTCAGCATCGATGCGGACGACCGTGATCTCAGCACGCCATCACGCGGCCTGGGTTATGAGGAGCTGGTGGAGGTTGTGACACGCGCTGTGGCCAGACTAAACATCAGCTGGCCACAACATGAGCAGGAAACGCAAGTCACCAGTAAAATGGACGAGCGTTACCTGCAGCGCAGGTCACAGCCTCACCGCCGGGGTCTGCCGTTTTTCCCTGATCTCCATAAAGAGATCTCGAGAACGTGGGAAAGACCGCATTCGTCCCGTATTTCGAGTCCCAATGTAATAGATTACAGCAATGTTATGGGGGCTCGAGATATGGGATATGGGAAGATGCCGAAGGTGGAGGAGGCTTTAGCGAGCTATCTCTCTCCCGAATCGGCGTCTTCCCTAAAGACCCCGGTGTTGCCTAGTAAGCCCTGCAGAGAGACATCTGCATTGGTGGGCAGGGCTTACATGGCGGCGGGTCGGGCTGGTTCGTGTCTGCACTCAATGGCGATTTTGCAGGCATACCAGGCCGACCTCCTGAAAGATTTGGATGAGGGGGAGGGGCCTACTCCTGAAGATGTCGCGGAGTTGAGGAAGGCCGCAGATTTGTCTCTCCGGGCCACTAGGGAAGCGGCCAGCGCTATTGGCCGCTCTATGGCGGCCATGGTGGCCACGGAGAGGCATCTGTGGCTGAACTTATCCGGAATTAAAGAAAAGGATAGGTCCTTCCTGCTGGACGCGCCGCTTTCGGCTTCTGGCCTGTTCGGCGACGCCGTTAATTCGGTTGTCGACAGGTTTCAGGAGTCGAGAAAACAATCTGCGGCGTTCCAGCAGTACCTCCCCCGGAAAGCGAAGGCCAAATCTAGTAGGGGGGGGCAAAGCAATCAGCCCCAGCCATCAGCCAGCTCCTCCCACAGGGCAGAGCAGAAGGAGAGCGTTTCCTCTAGAGCCCCCCCTCCGGGGTCTTGGCAACAGAGGAAACGCTCCCAAAAACCGAAGTCCTCCAGCCAGAGGGGCGACCTGAGGGACGTCATTCAGGCTAAGAGGACTTCGGAAAAGAGGTCCTAGCCAAGGCAGGACTTCAGAGGGCTGCCCCCTCCGCAGTGAGACAACCGAGGTTGTTCTCACAACGGGGCCCTCTAGGAAAAGATGCAGGTCCGCCGTTAACAGCGCTTCGGGCCGCATCAATTTCCAGCGAAAAGACACCAGAGGCCAGCCTCGAGAGGCTGGTACCCTTAGCAGATTTTGTAGAGGGATGGTATCATCTTCCCAACATATCTCCATGGGTCCTGCAGATAATACGAGTTGGGTACAGACTGCAGTTCGCGCACCGCCCCCCAAGTTCTCTGGGGTGGTGCTCACTGCGGTGGTCCCAGAGCAGGCTCAGGTGTTGGAACAAGAAGTACAGACTCTGCTGTCGAAAGGAGCCATAGAACGTGTTCTTCCGGTAGACAGGGAGTCCGGGTTTTACAGCCGGTACTTTATAGTTCCAAAGAAGGATGGGGGGTTAAGGCCAATTTTGGATCTCAGGGTGTTGAACCGGTCTCTGAGAAGGTTCAAATTCAGAATGTTGACCATTCCAACAATCGTGAGTCAAATCAGATCCGAGGACTGGTTTGTCACGATAGATCTGAAAGACGCCTATTTTCACATCTCCATCCTTCCTTGTCACAGGAGATACCTGAGGTTCGCTTTCGGGGGCGAAGCATACCAATATCGGGTTCTTCCGTTCGGCCTAGCACTCTCTCCCCGCACATTTACCAAGTGTATGGACGTGGCCCTTGCTCCACTGAGACTTCAGGGGATTCGCGTATTGAATTATCTCGACGACTGGCTTATTTTGGCCCAGTCTCGGGAGATGGCAGTTCGGCATCGAGATGTCGTTCTTGGCCATATTCAAAAATTGGGGTTAAGACTCAATTTGAAGAAGAGTGTGCTAGAACCGTCCCAGGGCACGACCTTTTTGGGAGTCGTGTGGAACTCGATTACAATGCAGGCACGTATGTCTCCCGCACGTATCGAGTCAATTCTGGCGATGGTGTCCAGGGTGAGGCTAGGTCAGGCCGTCACTGTGAAACACTTTCAAAGGATGCTGGGCCTCATGGCAGCGGCATCCAACATTATTCCTCTGGGCCTCCTTCACATGAGGCCCCTCCAGTGGTGGTTGAAGACCAAGGGGTTCTCACCCAAAGGAAATCCGTTCCGTATGATCAGAGTAACGCGCAAGTGCCTTCAGTCTCTGCAAATATGGAAGAAGCCTTGGTTCCTATCCCAAGGGCCAGTGTTGGGGGTGTCATGTCGCCGGGAAACCGTTTCGACAGACGCCTCCCTTACGGGCTGGGGCGCGGTCATGGACGGCCGCTTTACCAGGGGTCTGTGGCAGGACCATCATCGCACTTGGCATATAAATTGCCTGGAGATGATGGCGGTATTCAAGGCTTTGAGGAGCTTCCTCCCAGACATCGAGGGTCGCCACGTCCTTATACGGACAGACAATACGTCAGTGGTGGCCTATCTGAACCGACAGGGGGGACTCAGATCGCGCCCTCTGTGCAAACTGGCGCATCAGATTATCCTTTGGTCCCAGGGAAAGATATTGTCAATAAGGGCAATGTATATCCCAGG